AGGAGGAGGAGGAAGAAGAGGACGAGGAGACGGAGGAGGAGGAGGAGAAAACATAATATTGTTAAAGAAGTAGTCATGGGAAAAAGGGAAGTTGCATGAGGCAAGGTAAATGTTGGGCAAAGTGTTTTGACTTCTGCACTCCTTTCTAGTTTCACTGTGAACTGCTGTTTGACTCGGCATATGGTATATCCCCTCCTTCCAAGGCTCAGGATGCACAGGCTAGGGCCCTTACTGACCTCCAACAAGTAGGGCACATGGGGTGAGTTGCCCTGTACTTTCCACCACGCTAGAAACTTGGCTTTTGTGACCTTCATTTGCAAACCAAGTTCTAACAGTTCAGGGTAGCAGCCCAAGGCCAATAAGCCAAGGTGGGAAAGAGTGGAGGCTCACTCCTTCTTAGTCTCAGGCCATCATCACTGACCGAGTCTAGGACCAGGAGGATAAGCTAGCGTGAGCCAAAGCAGATGGTCAAGGAAATTAGTGGAGAAAGCTCAGACATATATAGCTTTTTAACTCCAATGTTATAAAGTCACATCAGCTTGTCAGGAAAAACATTTGCAAAAGTCATGTTCTAAAACACCTGTCCCTGCGTTGATAGCATTTGATTTTGTAACTGACAAGGAAGTTGTCAGTCGTGTTTCACCGAGAACAAAGTTGGAGGCTTGGTGAGCTGACACTGCTTGGTATGACACTGGATATTTACTTGTATGATTCTCTACCCTTTGTCCAACCTTTCCACACCCACTGTTTAAAAACCAACATTCATAGCCAGGTTCAGTTTTCTGCAGTTTTGGAAGCAATTTAGCACATAGCTTTTACCCCTGTGCATGAATAAAGTTCTATCAATAGTACTTTGCGTTTAGTGGAAACGAATTTGTAGGACACTGTCCTCAAAGTGCCTGCCATCAAGAGTTGATACGGATATATGCAAATGAGGGCATGTGCGCGCGCGATTGCGCATGCATGTATGCGCACACGAGCATGCGCGCGCGTGCACACACACACACACACACACACACACAAAACCAATCCCAAGGATTTACTTTTCTTCTTGGCTTCACCACCCAGCTAATGAACATTTTCCCAGAGTAACTTTCATAAAAACCTAACGCAAGTAGGCACTGGTGGCTCACGCCTGTAATCCTAGTAACTCAGGAGGCAGAAATCTGAGGATCCTGTAACCCAGCCTGGGCAGAAAAGTCAGTGAGAGTATTTCCTTCCAATTAACCACCACCAGAAAACCAGAAGTAGCTTTGTGGCTCAAAGTGGTAGAGGGTTAGCCTTGAGCAAAAAGTGCTCAGGGACAGCACCCAGGCCCTGAGTTCAAGCTCCAGAACTGACAAAACAAACACCAATAACAAGCACAAAGTCACCGGGTTCTCGTTTCATTGTCCAAACTGAAAACTCATAAACATTGAACAAACTCAAGCCCATCTTTGTGGGTGTTCACATCTAAAAAGAAGAGTTAAATGGATCTACTGGGCCCATGCTATCAAATATACCAAGAAGGAGTACTCTTGCAGCTTTTGCAAAAGTCTGCAAATATAGGCAATTTCTAGCAAAGAAGCAACAATAGAAAGTAAAATCTTTGCAGGTTAGCATAATCCCAGAAGAAAGACGTGTGTTCTGGATGCTTTTGGACACAGGTAGAAAGCAGAATTAAAACACTGAATCAGAAGGGAGCAGAGAGGGGTTTACCAGGCTTGACAAATGACACCATGGTTCACACCCACTGCTGGGCTGTCTCTAATAAGCCACAGAGGAAAGAGCCAATCTCAGCTAATTACCAGATAAAAATGTATCGTAAGGACTCTAATTAGGAGACGTGGATGGAGGTGATCTAATGATTAAATGCTGCATTCGAGTGACCCCACCATCAACGTGCAGTGGTGTACAAGATGTCACTGGAATATTTTGTAGAAACAGTAATTTTATCTCAAGGAGGGGAGGCAGTAATATTTGTAATGATGGCTATGAGGTAAACTAATTAAAAGACAGTTCCTAGAGGAAAAGGGTGTCGGAGAGCAGCTGTGGCCATTCCAAACCCAAGTGCCAAGTCTCAATAGAGGAGCTGCAGTCAAGTGGAAAATTTCTGCCTGACCTTTGCCCTTGCTATTAATTTGCAGGAAAACTAATGACACATATACATATTCCCACAAAATTGTTCTAATTGCTAATTTGCCAAAGGAGCCCAGATTCCAAATTAAACATGACTGTAGCCTGGAAGGGAAAAGGAAGAATCAAAAGCGGTAAACTCCAAACAAGAGGGTGCTTTGCCACACAAAATCATTTGAAGGCTGAACCAACAAGTTAATGAAATGTCAACCCTGTCAGCTGCTATACAAGTTGCTTAACTTTTCAACTTTCGTCTGATCACATGCTTGTCTTGGGGAGCCACCATCTTTACCAGGGGTGGAGGTGCGGAAGGAGGGGGTGGGAGGAGAGGGAGAAAGAAGGGAAAGTTCCAGATGGGATTCAAAACATACTGGGCTCAAATCAAACCTGCTTCTTTCAATCAGAGTCTTAAAAAAATAAAAACCAAAAACAACAACAAACTCAGACTGCAAAAAAAAAAAAAGGACAAGAAACAAAGCAAATCGAAACCCAGACTCAGAATGGAAAAACAAATTGGCAACAGTGCAATTTTGCTGTAATCACGATATATTCATCGAAATTGTAAACCATTAAATCTTAATATAATCATTAATTACCAAGGAAAGCATCCATGCTTAGTGTTTCTGATTGCAGTTAAGGATTGAAAAGTGAATTTTTTTTCCCAGGGCATGGAGCAGGAAGGGATTGGACTAGGAGGGTGCTTTTCCTGATGGAAAGCCCATTTTTCTCATTGTGTTCATTTTTCTATTTCAAAAGAAGTTGCTATGTTTAGAAAAGTTAACAACTTTGAATATTTTTTTTCATGGCACATTTCCATACTGTGATGACTTTGGTAAAGATAATCTCTTTGAAAACTCTGGCCAAAAGATAATTCTTATGTCACTTAAAATTGCTGTAGCCTTTTGTTTTTAAAAAAAATAAAAAACAAATAATTGTGCTCTCACCACTGTTCTCCTGTGGTCCCTCCCCCCGAGTTTTGGTTACAGACAATTATCCTGGAAGTCTTTTGCCCCTGGAACTACTCCAACCCTGTCAACTACCCAATATTGTTGCACTGTGTCCTTTTTAAAATATATATATATATATATATATATATATGTATATATTG